GAGTTGCCTCAGAACCCATTGCTACATTAGGATAACTGGCAATAATTGACCAACACTTGGTGTGCCTGCAAATCACATAAACATATCTCACTAAATGCAAACTAAATGTATCCCTAATTATTGAAACCTTGCAATACTTAGCTATCAAAAACACTTGGCCACTCCCTCAACCGTATTTGGAAAAATCAGAGATTCTGGCTATGTCTACAGGGAGCTATTAGACACATCAAAATTGTAAATAGAAGCAGTTTAATTATTCTGGGGCTAACTGAGTGTTTGCTTGAATTGTGAACCAAGCAGCATTATGCTTACTTCTGCATGTCCATCTTCACAAATTCAGTTACAGTGGTCTAATAAAGGAAAAATAAGTCTTTTCAGACAATTAAGTTATAACATGTCAAATTTTTATTCAAGTTTGACTGCAAAGGAAAAGTCTTCTCAAAGACCAATGCAAATGCTCAGTTGGTAAAGAATCCACCTGCAATGCAGGAGACCCTGGTTCGATTCGGGGGTTGGGAGGATCCACTGGAGAAGGGATAGGCTACCCACTCCAGGATGCTTGGCTTCCATGGTGGCTCAGATGGTAAAGAATGTGCCTGCAATGTGGGAGACGTAGGTTTGATTCCTGGGTTGCGAAGATCCCCTGGAGAAGGGAACAACTACCCACTCCAGTATTCTGGCCTGGAGAATTCCATAGACTAGGGTGTTCCATAGTCCAGGGGGTTGCAAAGAGTCGGAAATGACTGAGCAGCTTTGACTTCACTGCACTTCACCAGTTTTATGGAAGACAGTTTTTCATTGGACCAGGGGCAGGGGAATGGAGTCAGGATGATTCAAGCACATTGCATTTATCGTGCTCTTGATTTCTAATCTGACACCGCCACTGATCTGACAGGAGGTACTGGTCCGTGGCCCAAAGGTTGGGGACCTCTGCTCTAGAGGCAGTTTTACTGTCTTAAATACAAAAGAAGAAAAAGAACAATATAAACGGTTTGCTGGGTCACCAGAAAAAGATGGGCAGTGTTATGACACATATGACTGAATTTTTATAAAACAGTCAAAATATAAATAATTGAAAAAGCTTCCTGTTCTCTTCAGAAAAGTATATTGTAACTTTATTCAATGAAACCAAGAACTCTGTCTACCAAGTTCCCTATGTATAACAACTAACAGAATGTTTAAAAAAAGATTATTATAATCTATTATGGGGCTTCCTTGCTGTCTCAGTGGGAAAGAATTTGCCTGCCAGTGCAGGATATGTCGGTTTGATCCTAGGGTCAGGAGAGTCCCTGGAGAAGGAAATGGCACGCTCCAGTATTCTTGCCTGGAGAATCCCATGGCTAGAAGAACCTGGTGGGCTACAGTCCATGGGGTCGTAAAGAGTTGAACATGACTTAGCTAATAAGCAACAACAACATGATCTATTATATTCTTCTCATGAATGAATAATAGTTAGATCACTTATAAATTATACCTTAGTTAATTTGTGCAACACCTCTAAGAAGATGATTTTGCTATTCTTGTTTTTAAATTGTGAAAACAAAGGCTTATCATTTTCAGTCATTTGTCCAAGGTCACATAATTAGAAAAGAATATAAGTAGCTCTCAAACCCAGAACATCCATACCCCAAGCTATGCTCTTTCTCCAGCACCACATAGCTATTCCTAGATGGTCTTTTGGGGGTCACTGTAACTTGATCAAGAAGATAAATTACATTTATTGTAAAAGTGAAGTTAGTAATTTCTTTGATCGTTGTTGGCATCCACCTATGATGTCAAGTACATTTCTAAGGATTCAATTCCAGGGGGATGTTTATAAGGTGAAAAGACAAATATTTAACAATGCTTAAAACTAGGACTCCTTACTGGCCAATCAGAATGGATATTGATTTTAGTTCTCAAGCACTTCCCTGGCGGCCAGAGCTGTTCCAGGGGTTAACTCTACGTGTACCTCATCCAGGTGAAGGTTTCCTGCAGAGGAAGGGCCAACCTGTGAAGGGCATGATGCCTTTAGAGAGTTCAGTTATGAGTTTGGTTTTTCTTTCTTTTTTCTGTCATAAATGAACAACCAGATATGCCATATTGGTTGTTCATTTATGACAGAAAAAGAGAGAAAAAAAAAACAACAAAGAAAGGATGCTTTTGAATTGTGGAGAAGACTCTGAAGAAGACTCTTGAGAGTCCCTTGGACAGCAAGAAGATCAAACCAATCAATCCTAAAAATATTCTTTGGAAGGACTGATGCTGAAGCTGAATTTCCAATACTTTGGCCACCTGATGCGAAGAGCCAACTCATTTGAAAAGACCCCGATGCTGGGAAAGATTGCAGGCAAAAGAAGAAGGGAGCAGCAGAGGATGAGATGGTTAGATAGCATCACCAACTCAATGAACATGAATCTGAGCAAACTGTGGAAGACAGTGAAGGACAGGGGAGCCTGGCAAGCTGCAGTCCACGGGGTTGCAAAAAGGTGAACATGACTTACCAGCTGAACAACAAATGGTTGTATCTCTGAGTATTAGCAACATATCAGCCCTAAATATACTTCTTAAGTAAAATACTTTGGATGGGATTGCCAAAATTGCAGTAGTGACTGTTTATGAATGTGGAATTGTAGGTGACTTCTATTTACAGTTTAATTTACTCATTCAGCATACATTTACTGAAAGCCTTGTAAATAGCAGGCATTCCTAGATTTCAGAAGTGAGTAAGACAGGGGCTGTTTCTGTTACTTTTCATTGGTGTTATATTTATACTCAGAAAATATTCCACTGAGTTAATTAAAGAAATTATATCAAATAGTTGAATGGTTAGAAGAAGGAAGGTCCAGAGAAAAATAAATCCAGAACTTTAAAAAGATTAAATTGTATTAATTAAAAATACATGGCAAAAATCTAGCAAGTTATTTGTGTAGACACCTAATTTTTTAGCAATTCATTTAGTATCCATTTTAATGTGAATAGGTTCTACTGAATGCCTATTTAATGTACAAATGCCAATACCATATTGAGTGACAGGAAGAGTTCACTTAGAAACATTCATCTAATTTAAGAATCTGCTCTGGTCAAGACTGTGGTGAGAGTTCTCATATTTTAATATACCCCAATGCTATTTATGTGTAGCTTCTTATTTCTTAATGAAGTTTCCTATGGGGAAGAATGTCTGATTTTAGAAACTGGTAAGGATTTTCAGTGCTTATATCAAATACTGGCCTTCTCATGGTTTTAGAACATAGATATGTGTTCTTTTATTTCTTACTTAGTACTTTGAGAGAGAGGAGAGGAAAACTGGAAGTAAAGTTAGAAAAAGATTCCATGTCTTTGGACAAAGAGGAAACCAGACAAGCAGGTCTTGACTAGCCAGTTCTACAACTAAACTAGTGGTGACTGAGTCAAGTATAATCCAGCCCAAATATTCAAAATCTACTATTTCACACATATTTATGGGCTCTTTCCATTGATTAGTCTACTACATACACATGCAGAAAAAAAAAACAAACTCTACTAACTGCATTTCTATAAGGCATTAACCAGAAAATCAGTAACTTATCCCTAAGCAGGGAAATTTAAAATGTCCCATATTCATGGCCCTTCTGTTAATTGTAGAACCTGTTTAGTGAGGTTTCTGTTTCTACCTCATGTATAGTGATGTTGCAATGCTGTGTGGGGAAGCACATTATGCTTGCAGATGTTGCTGAAAAAATATCTGGGGAGTGAAGGACTCTTTAGTTGCTCTCGGGTGTTGTCCACATTGATGTGGCCAAGCATTTGCTCTGACACACTCTCATTTCAGCTGGGTCTCCTTTTAAGAAGGCTTCAAATCCTTATCTCTTCCGGCGAAAACAATACTTGGAATTCTTTTGGGGGCTCAATATATTCAGACATATCTTCATTTTTGTTTGGAACTGACCTCTTGCCCCTGATCCCCCTCTCATTAGCCACTCCCCTTCTTCAAAGTATAGTGAAATAGTTTTTAAAACTTTTTCAACAATGATTATATTTCCAAATAAAATTTGAACATGACTGCTCAATATATATTTATATAAAGAAAGTGATTCTCTGTCAAGGGACTCTCTTTCTTCCAATGTCTTCAGTGAAATTCCATGGAGCATAATGCAAAGAACACTTGCCCAGGAATCAGAGTTGCAATCCCTGAATTGTTCATTAATTCAGTTAATTTATTAAACATTTTCAGTGTGCAAAGCACTAAAATGCTAAGGGAAAAAGGCCCTCAAGAGACTTAACTTTCAAGTGTGGGAAAAAAACAGGTACAGGAAAAAGTTCTAGATGCTTTGGCAAGGTCAGTGATATATATTGATCACTCTGGACCTTGTTTTTTGTAAATTTAAAATAAATAACTTCAAACTACACATAGAACCTTACTCCTCTTACATGCTTGACCCTGTGATTCTGTTACTCTATGCCACTGAATTTGGATCACAAAGGAAAGCCACCGAAAATGGACATGAGACATGAAGGTACAGAAACTGGATGCAGCATGTGCATCTGTGAAATTTTTGTAATGTTGAGAAAAGTATGCATGATAGCGAGATAGGAGTGAAAAAATAAATGCATAGTTGCTAAGGAGCAGAATTACTGGGCGTCATCTTCAGCTTTTCCGAAATGCTCTTCTACCTCCATGATGCACAGGAAACCCAGCTTTTCCTTGATAACTAAGCTCCCTTTTCCACTGAAGGCCTCTTATTCTCCAGCTTCATCACCAATTCAGCCTCACAAGATCAAGGTCATGCTAACAAAAGTCTCTGCTTATTTATTCCAATAAAAAGAATCACTCTCCATTGAGAGTGCATGTTGATAATTTACATAGAAGAAGGTAAGGGAAGAAAACTTGCAACTGTATGAATTTAATACAAATGTAGTTAACTTTAATTATTTAATAATATTATGTAAATGCATCAATTCAAAGAAGAAAGGCAATGATTACAGAATGTGATGTTGTCAGGTAAGAATTATAATAGTAATATTATTATTCTTATTAATAGCCACAGTCTTCCTGGAATTTTGGAAAAGGAGAAGAAGTACACTAACCTATACTTGGGACCTTATTGAATGGGAAGAAGAGGAGGTAAGATGTTAAGAGACCAGGAGATAAGAAACTGGAATAACATATGGTGCAGGAAATCACTCACTGCCTTAACATCTAAGCAGGAAGCAGCTAAACACCATTCAGTTTTCCCTTGATTTTTTTTGTTTTACTAACAACATTGTTATTTTATGAATATAATAGACACCAGTGATGAAATATGTACTTTTCTCGGAGCACTTCTATAATGTTTCTTTAAATTCCATTAGTGGAAAATCATGCTAATTAAAATATGGTTTAGGGTTTATTTGGAAAATATCTTGCATCTAATTTTTTGCAAGTTGTGTCTTTGCCAAGACTTGACATAGAAGTAGGCCAAATTCCAGGAATTTAGTCAATATTGGATGACTTTTTAAATTTATGCCTTAGATATTTAGTTAACTTTAGTTTTCCTCATAGGAAACCCTTCGTCCCCAGTTCGAAGCAAAGTATTACAAGATGGAGCGAGTGAATCCTATCAGTGGAAAACCTGAGCCACATCAGCCTTCCTCAGACAAAGTCACTCGTCTTCTTGTTTCTATCTCAGGAATATTCTTCATGGTAAAGTAGAACCATCAATCTCAGCATATTGTGGGATTCCAGGTTTAGAAAGAAGTTCTAGAATACCAACTCATTTTGTGACCCTGAGGGGGTAAGAAACTGTATCCTGTTCAGTATGTTGGTGGTACATACATACTATTAAACAAAATAAAAATCACAGCAGGTCATGCAGTAATTGCAGAGGGAGTTTGTGCATATTTTTAAATAAAATACTGTCTGGGAGAAACAAAGATCACCTAAGATAAAATTGAAATTATGTAAGTCATCCTAAAATTAGATACTCTGGTTTAAAACCAAGCATTTATGTGACAGTTGAGATTTGAACAACATATCATACTATAACAACTGAGTCTTACACTGTTTATTTTGACTCTAATGTAAGTCAGTTCTTTAAAGGAAATTTTAAATTTATGTACGCTTTCTTGGAAAAGTAAATTTCTTTAGCTTTTGGGTTCAATATTTTGGATCTATGTTGTTGCTTTTATTTTTTTAATAATGCAAAACGTGGATGTCTCTTCCGGTCTCCCATTTTGTAGATTTCTCTGGTGATCACGGCAGTGTTTGCCGTTGTGGTGTACCGCCTGGTTGTCATGGAACAGTTTGCATCATTCAAGTGGAATTTCATCAAACAACACTGGCAGTTTGCAACTTCCGCTGCTGCAGTCTGTATCAATTTTGTAATCATTATGGCACTGAATGTTGTAAGTGTTTACAATTTTTCAGTAGGTGTAAAGGGGGTGGGTGGAGGAGAGGTCTGTGTTTCCTTTATACTTCGATTGGATTTATAAGAAGCCAAAATAAGGCCGAGTATCATTTCCGGCAAAGACAGTTGGGCTTAGCAGGAAGTATTGCATTTATGTGGTTTACATGATATTTTTTAAAATTAAAATCCATGATAGTTGTATTGTCTTCCTTGCTCTTTGAATTTGTAGTTTATTTATTTATTTATTTTTATTTTTGGTTGTGCTGGGTCTTTGTTGCTTTGCACAGGCTTTATCTAGTTGCAACAAGCGAGGGCTACTTTTCTTTCTAGTGCCCTGGCTTCTCATTGCGGTAGCTTCTCTTGTTGTGGAGCACAGGCTCTAGGCACATGGACTTCAGTAGCTTTGACACACAGGTGCCTGTGGAATCTTCCCAAAACAGGGATCAAACCAGTGTCCCCTGCATTGGCAGTGGGTTCCTATCCACTGCACCAGCAGGGAAGTCGGGTTTATCACTTGGTTTAGTGATAGCTTCCACTCATCAAGTATCTCGTGTGTGCCGGAAATGGTGCTCTGCTTTTATTATGCATGATGCTATGCTCTTCTCATTCAGATAAGGAATTGTTAGGATTAGAAAAGCAGTCCAACAAATTCAAACTCTGAGAATTTTTTTGGAAAGATATAGGAAATTCTGTTTGAAAGTGTAACCTTGTTACCTCCAAGACCTCATGTGAAATGGAAAACATCTTCTCCCTTTGCATTTCTCTGAGACTAAGTATTTTTTCCTCCCTTCCTTTCTTCCTTCCTCTTCATCTTTCTTTCTCTCCCTGTTTCTCCTTTCTCTCTCTCTCTTCCTCTCTTCTATTCCCATCTTTTATTTTTTTAAGCAATTGATTCTATTTGCATTTGTTTTCACAGGAAGAGACTGTTTTTATCAGCAAAAGACTATATTGCCTAACAATGGCCTCCGTGTCAGTGTCTGGTGTGTTGGTGCATTTATATGCTTTTCTTATCTTCATTGACTCTAACTTCATGACCATGTTGGTCAGTTTCTGTAGTTTATGTAGATCATCCAGTGTTTTAATGTGCTAATTTCTCAGAGAGTGCATGTGATTGGTTCAACATGACATATACCAATTAACTTGTGAGCCAAATGTCTGTGGCTGAGAGGACAACATTGTGCTTAGGTCTGCCCCTTTAGCAAGGTCTGTGGTTGGGGTCCTATTTTCTCTCAAGACAGGAGGCATTGACTGGCTTATTTAGAACAATTTATTTCCTTTAATTCTTCCAATACCACCACAAGGTCAATATTCTTTCCATTATGTAAATAAGGAAACTACAGTTTAGAGAGCTTAAATAATTTGTCCCAGATTGTGCATTTAGTAAGTATTAGTGCTTGCATATTTATTTACATGATAATTCATGTAGACAGCTGACCAATACATGCATAATGATGTTGATAACATAAACAGGTAATATGCATCTCGATTGACAGTGCTGTTACTTGATTAGTCGGGAAGGGACTGGAACCATTTTCTATTTAACTTTAAAATAATCAGGGAGTTCTTAAGCGAAAAGTGAATAGTCACTGAAAGAAACGGGTAAATTTCAATGCAAGGGCAATAGTTAATATTTTCTACTGGAGTTTGCTATTTTCAGGTTCAGTTTATTTGTAGAAGGAGAATTTTTTTTTTACTGTATCTCCAAGTAAGCCATGCAGTATTTTAATTTATACTTTGACTCATGAATTGAAATGAACAATAAATGTTGAAAAACTACTAGTTTGCTATTTTCAGGTTCAGTTTATTTGTAGAAGGAGAATTTTTTTTTTTACTGTATCTCCAAGTAAGCCATGCAGTATTTTAATTTATACTTTGACTCATGAATTGAAATGAACAATAAATGTTGAAAAACTACAGAGCTAGGATTGAGAGACCTGTGTGGTAATCTATGAAAGGTGGGAAGTATAGGTTTTATGTTGCACAAAATCACCATAGTGAAGAAGGAGCCATTCACAACATGGATTTTATACAACAGATTTTTATATTTTTCATTCTTATGTTAACTGTTCTAGCAGATAGTGAAAGAAATTGTTTATCTAAGGAAAAGAAGGCTTTAGTGGTTAATGTATTTATTTCTAGGTAATACTAGTGATAAGCTAGTATGATTTTAAATTGATTCATTTTCCTAATCATGGTAGGTTGGTTGAATATTACATTTTAATATTATTTAAGTACATGACATATAGTTACATAAGAAGGATATATAATTTCACTTGATATCCCTTGGAACACTCCTGCATTTTTAAGAATGACAATAAAATGTTAATAGTGGTTATATTTCAGGAGTGGGATAATATTTGATTTAATATTTTATTTCCGTTCATTTAAATGTTTATTTCTATATTTAGGTTTTGATTTATAATCAGAAAAAATAGTCTTTACTTTTAATACATTCTACCATGATATAAAATCTGGAACAAATCAGAATTGGAATGTACTTTATTTTTACTTTGTATATCAGTCACTCATAAAACCACAGCCACTTAGGTAGCTTTAGGTAGCAATTTCAGGTCATTTTTAAAATTTTGTCTTTCACCAAGTAAAGAATAGGTTTACTGATGGCTGCATAGCATCCCAGGACACTCACACACAGGCGTGCTCACACGCTCACACACTCTCTCTCTCTGTCTCTGTTCCTTCTGTTCTCATTTATGCTCTCCCCTCTCTCCTGCCCCTCTGAACACTGTCCAGGCTTTCATCAGTTTGTATTGTCAGTTCCTCAACATACTGTTCAGATAAAAAGTAATGGACTTTAAACACAGGCAAAACAGATATTTGCTCCTTGACCTGTGTGATCCTGACTACCCTGCATAACATCTTTGATCTTTAATTTCTTGATCCTTCAAATGAGGGTAATAAGACAAATGCCTAGAGGGATTGAAAGATGAAATGAAATCTGCTTCTAGTGAATACAGTGTTCAATAAATGTTCATTTTCTTCCTATTTTTTCAATGCTTTGAATTTTTATTTCTCTTTATAAGTCTATTTATACTCTCATTTCTATTCCTGCAAAATACCAAATTTTCTTTGTTTTTTCCTATTTTACTCATCTTTAAATAATAGAGTTTGATTATTGCCCTTCAGTTCAAGATACAGAAATGCTGATGATCTTTTCTTTGATCCTTCTAAATTCTTCAGGCCATATCTGCATTTTTTAATAATTTTTTACTCTTTTTTCTTTAAATGTTATCTGCTACCTATAAATATGTAAATACTCAGTGCTGCTAGAGAGAAAAAGAATCACATACAGGTTGTTGTATTATGTGTTTTCGTCAAATATATATCTAAATATAAGAAAATTGAAATGTGTACTTATTTCATACATATATGTATGTATGAAAGCATAACATTACACTATGCTAATTTCAGTAGTCTTGTTCTTTTATAGGTCTTAGTTTTATTTTCTCCTTTTTTGAATATGTTATTTATTAGCATTGAACTATAAAATAGCCACATTGTTCTTATAAAACTAATGACAGTGTAAGGATATTTAAAATATTAGATGAAAATCACTTTTTTCAATTCAAAATGCCAGTCTCCTCCCTTCCTACCATAAACTAATTGTACCCATTGGAGATAATCAATGTTAATGGTTTCATGTCTGTTAATCTCCACTTGCCCCTTCAAGTATTATTGTCTTCAAAAACGTACCCTGTGTTCCTGTGTTTATTTGGCAATTTGTTCCAGAGACCTACTGATCTTCAAATACATCTTAAGTACTGAAATGAGCTCATATTTTTGAAGATGGACAATATTTCGCAGACAAAGACAATGAAGAAGCCAAATGTGATTAATTTTTGCTTGAGAAGACAAGCATGACCGCTCTGGTAACAGAGCTTCCAGATTCAGTGTTCAGTCCTTAGTCCCTACCCAGAAAATTACTGATCTTTTCAGTCAAACTGAAGGACTTGTTACAATCAGAACTGCATTTGAATTAATTAGGAAATTTTATCCTCAAACATTTTCCCTACAAAAGTTCTTCCTATTATCAGTGATATTGCAAAAAAACTGAAATTTGACCAAAGTTTCCACCGATGTACCACACTCCAGTTTTGCATTATTCCAGGTGCTTCTCAATCCCCAGTCCCTTGACCTCTGACTCTACTCCTGCTCTAGTCCCTCTGCTCAGTGACCACCCCTTTCTGAGAATCACAATTAACCCTCCAACATACACTCCTCTCATAGGTTCAGACACAGCTTCTTCTTACTAAGTTTATATTTTTGATGAGGTTTAATGTATTCTTTCTTCCAAAGTACTTGCATTTTACAGATAAAAAGACCTCTAGAGATAGGTGAAGATAGTACTATTTTTGTTATAAAAACCATCCTTTGAGATCCTTAAAATCCCACTGTGTGTATGAGTGTGTGTGTGCATGCATGCATGCTCAGCTGTGTCCAATGGGCTATAGCCACCAGGCTCCCACTAGCTCTACTTCATTAAATACAAAAGCCCATGTAAATGCCTAAGAGCTAAGAAACAAGCATCCATAGTTCCCAGAGAAAACAGCTGACTTTTCTTTTTTAAATGTTTATTTCTACTTGTTGAACATTTGCATAAAGACAGGGATTCTTGAAAGTGAAATAGGCCATACAACTTGTCCTTTGCCCTTGCAACTAACTCAGGAGAAAATTTTAAAATGAATTTAGCCTCAGGCAAGAACTATGTGACAGAGGATGAGATAGTCGAATGGCATTGCCGACTCTACGGATGTGTCTGAGCAAGCTCCGGGAGTTGGTGATGGAAAGGGAAGCCTGGCGTGCTGCAGTCCCTGGGGTCACAAAGAGTTAAGAGACTCCTGAGCGACTGAACTGAAGAACTATGCAGTCTACTCAACAAATGTGAAGGGAATGTTACATTTCTCAGAGTCAATCCATATAAAAAGTTCCTTCCTTCTCAGGATGTTGAGACACTTCACAGATTATCAAACAGTCCTGTCA